GATGAGCCCTATAGGACCAGTGGTGTGAGTGGCAAAACAGGGAGGGTAAAGGGAGAATGGGTAGGAAAGAGGGAACCGATTACATTCATCTCTAATCCAGTCTTCTAACTCCCTTTTCCTCATTCATTGTGTTCTAGCTGCACGGGCTTCTTTCTGTTTCTAGAACCTCCCTCCAATTCCCTATCCCACACCATCTCTCCTCACCCTGCACACTCAGAACCTCTACATTTGCTATTTTTCAGCCTACAAGACTCATATCCAAGCTTACTGGCACCAAGGCCATCCTGACTCACAGTGGCCCTAAAAGGTAATCCCCCCAAATCCCCCACTGCCGACCCATTCACATTATTCAGATCTCAGGTCAAAGGTAAACTCCTTATGGAGGCCTTAAGTAATCAATCTTTATAAACCACTCTGTTATTACATTAACTTGTTTTATTTTCTTTATAGCAATTGTCACTATCTGAAAATCATGATGAGTACTGGCTAGTTGTGTCCCAGTGTCTACTGTAATTCCTCTTAGGCATTGTCCCATCCTTTATTACTTCCAATCACATCCTAGCTCCTTTCCTGCAAACACTCTCAACTCTCCACGATCAAAATCACAAACATAAAGCTTCCCCTGGACTCAGTTCACACAGTGAAGTTTATACACTGCTGCCTTACGTGTCCAACGAGTATTTTAGACGCACTGTACTTGTTTCCTTTACTGGCCTCATGTTTTGGCTTCTTAGGGTATGCATCTCTTTCCCACCAATGCCTATCCTGAATTTAATCTTCCAAGGACAAGAGTGTGGCTCTCTCAGTGGCTGTTTTCACTCTGTTTTCTTTCACTCCAAAGACCCCTGGTCCTACCGAGATGCTAACCACAAAGTCAGCTGTTTGCACCCACCAGGCATTCCACGGGAGAAAGGCAGCTCTACTCTGCCCTGCATGGTTGCTAGGGGCCCAAAATGACTTGATGGTTGTGAGAATTTTGAGATTACCCACCCCACCACCACCACCCCCGCCCTCCACTCAACTGACTGCATTTTGCAATTACAAAAATAGCATATACTCACTCTAAATAAAAATAGAGAAATACAAATTATGAGTTCCAGCTTCTTTTGAGAGAGGAAACCACTGCTACAATTGATCATGTATCTTTTCAAGCCTTTTTCACACAGGCGTATGTCTTAAAAATAAAGTGAAGCTAGAATGACACTGTACCCACTATTTTCAGATATGTGTCCTTCCATCTTTGTAGACAGACCGAGGTCCTTTCCACCCTCCTGTCTCCTCTGTCTCTTGCTGCTGTGCTTGGCGATCATCCAGGGGATCCAACTCGCACCAACCCAAATGACAGAGTAGAACTACCCCGGAGGGTTTTCTTGGCTTTAATCTTTACAGAAATAATTTGCAGGCCTTTCTCCTGTGAAGCCATTGGGTGGGGTTGGACTATCAACCTTTTTATTCTTATGAAGATTGGCCATTTGTGCCACCTGGTCTCCTTCACTTCCCCATTTGGTTTTACCTGCTCTCCCTAGTTTACCTTGAAAGCATAGTCAAGGAGATAGTCTGGTGTCACTTTGTCTTCCCAGCTAATTCCTGTGGATACGGTTATCCAGAGAAAACCTAAATTTGTATTACTGTGGATACAAAGTCGACTTTAGGGACTCAGGAGACAATGAACGAGAAACAACTACTTAAACTGTGGCACACACAAACCCGTTCACCATCGCCTCTTATAAGCTAGGCCACAGTAAACCGCTGTTGCTTCACTCAGTCTCTCCACAATAAAAACAATATTAGTGTTCAAAGACAGAGGTCCAAGTCAACTCATTAATCTGGTGCTCAAATCACAAACATGCCACAGCTAAAACTAGCACTGTGCTTCAGTCGTGTAAACAGGCTGGGCTGGATTTACGAAGGTGGTACTCTGGTTTCCGTGTGGCTCCTAAACATGACTACCTAACAGTTGTCCCTTGGTATCTGCTGGGGATTGTGCTCAGAACCTCTTGGAGATCCAAATCTGCAGATGTTCCCGTCTCTTAAATAAAATGGGGTAGTCCTTGCCTGTATGCACTAATATCCTCTCACATATTTTAAGTAACTTCTATATTATGACACCTAATACAATGTAAATGTGAGACATAGGACACTTGAGGCTCTGTCTTATAGGCCTTCAAGGAACTGCTTTGACCAATTCATTGTGCTTTGGTGTTTATTTTGTTGTTGTTGTTTGCTCCCCCCCAAACATCTTTAATCTGTAGTTAATTGAACCTATAGATTCAGAATCTGCAGATATGATGGGTCAACGGGACTGTATTTCATTCCTGTTTGACTGGGTCTGCAGGGGTAAACATGGCCACTCAGTTCTGCTGATTTGTTTTGCAGTCATCACCTCTTCACACTGATTTTTTTTTTGCTAAGGCACTGCTTGAGATTATATTCCTGCAGAAGGTATATCTCTTCTAGTTCCTAAAAATACCAGCTTCTTTATAGTACATTTATGCCAATGTCCCATCAATAATGCGGGCTATATGATGTGACTACAGATAAGTCATAATATCATGTAAAAGACACTGACCACATATGTTCATCTGCCAGCTTTAGTAACCCTATTTGGTGATATGCCGTATAAACTCGAGTACCAGGCAACCCGAGTAACAGCTGAGGCACCTAATTTTACCACAAAACTGCATTAAAAATGTGCTGAAAAAATTTGATATATATACGAGTATATATGGTAGTTTAACTTCAGCAGAAACAAGATTGCTTAACTTAGGTAATGTTTGATTTCTTCAGTTAAAGCTTGCAAAACCTTTTTAAGATATATAAAGAATAATAATTACAACAATTTAGATGATTAACATAATCCCATTTTCTAATTTACAGGAAAAACAAAAGATAAAAATCCTTAACATGCAATACACATATATCTAATTAAACAAACATACTCATATTCTGGCTTTTTTGGTATGAACATATCTTGGGTATCATCTTCCAAGTGCTGTAGGTCAACATATTGGTCTGTAGTTCCACTTGCGTTAAAATTCCCTTGAATATTTTTACTGTACTGTTGAAGGCGCTTCCATAAGTCATTATAAAGCCGCAATAATTTCGGGTACTCTCCTTCAAATGCTTGCTTCAGAAACATAGAAGCTGTCAAGTAAAAACAATAGCAAGGACTAAATAACTGATAAAACAATGAAATGGCAGTGCTCCAAGGTATGAAGACAACATGCCGGCGCAAAGTAGGGAATCAGTGGAGAGGTCTAGGGGGCTGGTCCCAGCCCCAAATACTAAGTGGATGCCTGCCCCT